ACAAAGTCTCGACTTCTGACACAAGTTTGTTCCGGTACTCGGTGACGTTTTCCCGAGAAATATTGGCACGGCCGGTGTATAGAGCATCACCAGTGCTGTCATCTGCATAGCAATGAATGCTACCAGCTTGCAACATATCATTGATATGCAGAAGAAACAGCGTTGGTGATAGCACGCAGCCTTGTGGAACACCAGCGTTAATAGGCTTGTAGTCGGAGCATGCACCGTCTACAACGACCTTGATGCTCCGATCTGCAAGAAAGCTGGTGATCCAATAGCATAATTTTTCGGGAAGCCCATAGGAAGGGAGCTTCGAAAGAAGCGCTTTGTGCCAAACCCGATCGAAGGCCTTCGCAATGTCCAAACTAACGGCCAATGCCTCCCCCTTGGACTCTACTGCCAACGCCCATCTATGATTTAAGTAGACCAGAAGATCACCAGCTGATCGACCCCGACGAAAACCGTACTGGCGGTCACTAATCAGCTGGTGATCCTCAAGGTACCGGATGAGCTGGCAGTTAATAATGGATTCCATTATTTTGGAGAACAAGGAGGTGATCGCGATAGGCCTTTAGTTGGATGGGTCTGAGCGGTCGCCTTTTTTAGGGATCGGGTGGACAAAAGCTGTCTTCCATGAATTCGGGACTACGCCTTGGGAGTAGGAGTACCGGAAAAGACGCGTTAGGACCAGTGCCAACTCCGGAGCACACGTCCTCAGCACAATTGGGGGGATTCCGTCAGGCCCACTCGACTTCTGGATGTCCAGGGAGAGCAGTGCTTTGCGAACCGAGCGCTGTGAGAACAGCACATCCGGCATGGAGCACTCACACCGCGGGATGGTCGGCGGTGTTTTCCCCCCGTCATCAAGAGTCGAGTTGGACGCAAAAAGGGAGCCTAAAAGGTCGGCCTTCTCTTTTGCGTCGTGGGCCAGTGAGTCGTCCTCCCTGTGCAGAGATGGTAGTGATGGCTTACAGAAATTCCCTTGGACAGCCTTGGCGAGAGACCAGAATGCACGGGTTCCCGAAGGAAGGCGAACTAGTTTCTCGCCAATTCTGCCTATGTGCTCTGACTTTGCCTTGGCAATAACTCTTTTGAAGGACCTGGAGGCGAAGTTAAGTCTTTTTGAGTGTGCTGGTGTTTACATCCCGAGTCACCGAAGCCGCAGCCCAGGCTTGATAACACTCCTGCTTACTGCGTAATGCAGTCTTACAGGAGCGACCAAACCAAGGCTGAGATCTGCCTCCGATGGGTACCACAGATGATGGAATAAATAGTTCCATTCCCTGTAGCACTACATCAGTGACAGAGTCAGCAACAGCGCTGGGATCATCCGGCGAGAAGCAAACCCGCCCCCATGGGTAGGAAGCAAAGAAAGACCGCATTCCGTCCCAATCCGCCGACCTGTAATGCCAAACACGGCGGCAACCTGCAGAACGCAACCGCGAGGGGAGCGTGAGTGGCACCACACTCCGGATCAGACAATGGTCCGAAGAGCCAAGAGGGGCATCGACGGAAACCTGATATCCGTCCGGATGAGAGGTCAGCAGAAGGTCCAACAGGGAAGGTGTATGATCCTCAACATCTGGAATCCGCGTAGGCGATGTAACCAGTTGTGTCAGACCATATGCCAAGGCAAAGTCATAAACAGATCTTCCCGCATGATCGGTTAAACGTGAACCGAGCCATTCGGCGTGGTGGGCGTTAAAATCGCCAAGGATCACGATCTCTGCGGATGGGACCTGTTGTAGCAAGGAATCTGTAGCCATTTGGACGTGGTCGATGAGTCGGTCTGTTTCGGCATTACCGCTGTGGGACCTATAGAGGCACACGTAGACGCGCGGATGGTCGTCGCTGTCTACGCGTAGCGAAAGGATGGACAGGTCCGAACCTTCAAGACTGCCGAGGCGTCGAGAACAGATGTCCTCTCTGACATACACGCAAACTCCAGCCCGAGGCACAAAGGAGTGCTCCAATTTGTACCCCGGGTAGGAGAGATACGAAGTATCAGCCGGAGAGGACACCTGCGTCTCGGTCAGAAAGAGCAAGGCCGGCTTCGCCGTCTCAAGATGGTAGTGGACGGCGTTTAGGTTCGAGTGAAGTCCCCTGATGTTGCAGAAATTCACGGATAGCGTGGCAGGGGACGCCTTGGTCTTGTTGCTCAGTTTGCCCCGAGCAGTTATTGTGTTGAGCGGAATTTTGCCCCCCCCCCCAGAATACGCGGGGCAGCCTGAGCACCCACGCTCAGGAGTGGAATAGCATGGTCGTGGATGCTCAGCGAGGGATTCTCCAGGGGTACTGGTACCCTCCTGGGGTAGTTTATGACGTAATTCCGCTACCATGTTGATGGGGGGGGGGGAATTGGGCATCCGGTCACCTGCACTCACCAGACGAAACGCGGAAGCAGAGCTTCCACTTCACGCCGGTATTCTGTGAGGTCGTGGTACTAACCCGGCTCGAGCCGGCCCATACGTGCAACAGCAAAAGCTGCTGCAAGGCTCTACCATCGCTATCGCTTTTTTGCCAAGTCTAGCGCCTAGCGGAGAATTGCACTTTTTTATTTCTGACATGGCAACGCAGTTTAGCTAATACCTAACCATACATCATAATTACTGTTTTGAGTATGAATGCAACTAAAATTAAGTCTTGTAAACATTTTACAGGTAGGTTGGTTGTTATGATAATGTCTTTTTTTATTGAGATTGAAGTGACAAACGAACTTACAGTCCACCTAGACGGTAAAGGGCTACCGCAGTGAAGCCCATGGACGGCTGCAATTAACTTTGCTGCCTTTGAAATGCCTCAAGCCTATAACTGGCTCCCTATACCTATTAGATCGCGCACGCACTGCTGTTTTGTATGAAAAAATAGGTAAGATATAAGTAGACTTGCATCGAATAGTATATTCGGTCACACGCGAAATAGCGAATATTCTGCGAGGTTCCTGGCCGAATAGCTGAATATTAGGCTAAAAGTGTTCGGCCGGGAAGGAAGTAGTATTTATTCATAGCGTCTCTTCTGTAAAGGTGGGATTGTCTACGAGAAGAAAAGTAGTAAACTACTAAGTGAAAATGAAGTCTTTAGTCTTAGCCTTTCTGAAACTTCTACTTTTAAATTTAACCCCCAACGAAAACAGAGAGGTGTTTAATTTGTAGTGTGTGTATCTTTGTATCTGTGTGTCTGTACCATCATAGCCCCTGAACGGGTGAACTGATTTTCATTAAGGTTTGTCGTTTGAGTGGTGTCTTATTTGAGAGTGTGTTTAGCTAAGGACAGGCAGATAATTTAAAATTAAAATTTTGTTCAACCGATTTCAATATAAATTATTACAAATAACCCAAAAGGTGTTGGTCAGACCTTGATCAAATTTATATGAGACCACATGTGAAGCACCAGCTTTCAAATAAAAAAAGAATCATCGAAATCGGTTCGCCCAGTAAAACGTTATGAGTAGTGGAGTAGCGTGCCTTAGAGGGGCCACACAAAAGGAACAAAAACTCTCGCATTGAATTAAAATAATTATATATTGATTATAAGTTATTACTTACCATTAATACTCCTAGGAACTAAGCTAGCCAAAAAATTCAAACCAACATCCTGTTCCATAGAAGTCCTTAGAATTCTCGCTTACATACGTTCGGGGCCTCTGTAGCCCGGGGGACCCGTATCATTGATACGGTTGATACGGCGGTAGCTACGCCCCTGGTTATGAGGTAACAAACATTTTAAAAAACATATAGTCAAATTGACTACCGGCTCCTTTTTCAAGTCGGTAGACAAAACAAGTTAGATACGATGAAATTAGCGGATATTATAAACGATAGATTCGCGCTATCTTTGAATGAAAGAAATAAGTTTAATTGTATAAAAGGTTATAGTCATTAAATCAGCATTAGTGAAATTTTTATTACTCGTTGGTACGATTACTTTTCTACAGATTTCAAAAAAAACTTTTATTAATTTTAAATTATTTGTATTGCCGTTAGCGTTGAATGAGTTTTTTGATCTGGCAACATTGGGTTGACATATTCCCCTTATACTACAATAATGAATCGTAATGCTAACGATTTAAACGTCTCAACCCATCACAATTTTCATACCATGACCGTAACCATTTCGGCACATACCTACAAAAAATATTTTTATAATTTTTTTTTAATCTACAATAATTTAGGGACAATTTTTATAAATGAATATGCAACAACGCCCTCTAGACCGTTTCGTCACTCAGAGTCCACTGCTGAACCTCAAGGCCTCTCCCGTTGTTGGAAGGCTTGACAAGATTGACAATTGATCTACCAAACATCTTGCATCTTTGACGACGTCACCCGTCGCCGGTCTGGATATTTTACGTAAGCCAGATGGCTATTCCGTCGTCTATCAGAAGCTTTTTGGACGTTTTTTATACAAGAAGGGTGACATACGAGCACACAGTCCACCTGATGGTACTACCGTACCGTACTGTAGAATTGCACAAACAATGTGTGTATAGGTATTGCATTTGGTGCAGCGTGTAAGGATTTTGATTACGCTCATGGCTGTATGCTATAATTGGCCGAATTTCTACCACCAGCGAAACTTTTCTTTATAGAATAAAGGTGAAAAAGTAGCTCACAGTCCACCTAGTTTCAAGGGGTTGCTGTGGCCTATAGGCATTATCCTCAATTATGAATCAAAATGCAGATGCGTTGTCACCCCTGAGGACTAAGATGGAGTGCCTCGTTTCAAGTAAAAAAGGTCTCCGGTTCTCTACACTCAACATACGAAACACAGCAGCACTAATCTGCTATTATACGCTGGTTTCCTATGAGAGCGTGGTCCTACCCGATCGAGCCGACTCATTCGTGCTACAACCATAATATAGCTGCAATGTGACTCTACCACGTATAGATTCCCGTAGTAGCGTCCTGCGACAACCACAGGACGAAAAGATGTGACGGATACTCTTTCGCCGCCATCCCTTGGCTTTTATCATATTGACTAAAATATAATTTTTTTTATAGTTACTTATTGGATGTGATGACTCTTATATAAGAGTATTGAAGAATAATCAGTTCATAATAGAACTCGCCGAAACTGGACCTGTGACTTGTCTTTCCCCGATCTCTGAAGTTAGATTTGCGTACGGCTTAGCAAATGGTACCATTGGAATATATGAAGAAGGCTTACGTCTGTGGAGGGTTAAGGTAAATTATCTTAGTAAGTTATACCTTTAAATTATACCAGCTGGTTCAGCAGTCAGCACTAAGCCAACAATATTGTGGTTATCAGTTATTTTGGGGGCCTCAATCGGTCAAGTCGTTCAGAAGTTACACCGTCACTAACAGACACATATTACCTATACTATAATGATTACTTGAATCTTCGTAATTCTGTTGAAAAAATTCTATCGAACGGTTTACAATGGTAAGTAAAAGTAGGAAAATCCTTTTTTCGTGCAATCCATACATATTGTACGTTAGTTCCCTTAATTTTATATGAATATTTAGTCGTGTCTGTAAAGGCGCTTGGAAATAATCCTGCCAAGATTTATGATATTTAATACAACTTAAAAAAAAAGTAAAATGTACACCAAATACATGCTGCTGAAGCAAGCTGAGGACACAGACGCCTCTCTATTTTGAGTGGGTTTTAGTTGACACTGCTTTTATCGTACACTGCTTTGTCCTAACAAAGCAGTGTCGGTCGCTTAGCGAACTTTACATGTGTTTAAATTATTTTATTCCTGGGAACTGCAGAGTTCCTAATGATGTTTTTCTTCTTCTTAAATTTACAAATAACAATTTCATTGGTGCGAAAGGGGATTGAACCGGGTTTGCTAGCTTATTGTGAAAACGAGCACTTACCCCTTGCTCTGCCTCAGTTCCATAACTTTATTTCGTACTATCTTATACTGTATCATGCTATTAGTAGATATTTACTATTGTGATTATTTACAATTTCCTGATCATATCCGTAATTGCTATAATCAACTATAATAATAATTTCAATGTTTCTATTATAACACACTTTTTGAATAGATTTTAACTTTTTTTTTATAGGATAGGGTGACAAACGAGCACACAATCCACCTGATGGTGAGTGGTTGCTGCGGCCCATAGACATCTACATCTATCCTCGTTTGCGAATCAAAATGCAGATGCGTTGTCACCCGTGAGGACTAAGATGAAATGCCTCATTTCCAGTAAAAAGGGCCTCCGGCCACCTGCAGTCACCAAACGAAACGCAGAGGTAAACTTCTACTTCACGCTGGTATTCTGTGAGGTCGTGGTACTACCCCGGTTCGAGCCGGCCCATCCGTGCGACAGCAAAAGCTGCCACGTGGCTCTACCACTGTTTATAGAGCTTGTTAGGTTTTTATGACGCTTCCTAATGTTATAAATTTCTCATGTTATTATATCTGTTTACGAAGATAAATTAAATATCATTTATAGTCAAAGCAGAATGCGATCGCTTTGCAATCGTCGGGCGAGTCGCTAGCGTGCGCGTGGGCAAACGGACGGTTGGACTGGCGAGACAGTAGCTCCGGCCGGGTGCTCCGTCGTGTGCAGATGCGCGCCGGCGCCGCCGCCATGATGCTCGCAGACTACCGCTCCATTGGATCACCAGATCTCATATGCGTGTCGGATAGAGGCGAAGGTATAATATCTTGCGATGCACAATAGATCTTGATAGGCCTACACTTTCCCTGTTGATATTTTCCTAGACCTTTAATTATTTTATCATCAATTTAGTGAAGCACTTTTTACTTCCTTGTTGTGTTTGTGTTTATACTCTCTTCTCCTCTTCTCTTTTTTTCTACCGACTTCAAAAAGGAGCCGGTACTCAATCCGACTGTATGTTTTTTTTATTTGTGTTACCTCATATCTTTTTCTGGGTGAACCGATTTCGATGATTCTTTTTTTCATTTGAAAGCTGGTGCTTTTCATGTGGTCCCTTATAAATTTGTTTAAGGTCTGACCAATAGTTTTTGAGTTATTCTTAAAAATTTATTTTTAAGTCAGTTGCACAAAATTTTTAATTTTAAATTGTACCTTTCATATTATTAATTCTGTACCATTAGCAATGTCACTTAAGTACTAAGGTACCTAGCGGAGCATAGGATACTCATTATAGATCCGGAAAGGAAAGGAAGGCGTACAATCAAGTGTGATAGTTTATATCATGATAATGGTTTATCAAAGGTCCAAGTAACTCTATGTTAGGAGGAGGTCTACCTCCTCCATAAATTGCTCATAGTAGGGTGTATTTGCCATAGGCACCACGATTGGCAGGCGAGTTGGCGACCGCAGTTTTTTATTATTTTAAGTTCTTATCAGGAATATCCTATTGCCCGTCTCTTGTATCATTTCTTTCTGTCACCTATACGATTACTCACGTGATGATAAAAGGGATTATTATTTTACGGCACCACTACGTAGCTTTATAAGGAATTCATAAAATAACCTATGAATAGAAAAGAATAGCATGTTTTTTTATTCAATATTGATTATTGCATAATACTTATTGAAAGTCATTTTTTATTTATCACTGGTTCGAAAAATACCTCTGTCCCTGGGAAAAACCAGCAAGAAACCGAGCGGGACTTTATTTTAAACATAATTTCACTTAACAATAATTTTGTTTATACCTACATTTTTAAATGAATTTTCATAGAACCAGCATTGTGGCGATCACCTCATTCCCAGGGGTTATTTTTATTCATGTATTCCTTGGTATTATAATAACCCTTTTTGTACAGTTTTTCTTTAATAAAATTTTAAACTTGTTTATTGACAAACTTTGAACATGTTCTGGGATTTTGTTGTAAAAGCGTATACATTGCCCCATAAATGAATTACTACTCGTAATTCTGTGGAGTCTAGTAACTGGCATTACAAGCTTATGTTTGTTCCTAGTGTTTAAGGTATGAACATCCTTATTCTTATTAAAGCTATTTATGTTTTTATGTACATACATTACATTTTCATAAATATATTGCGACGCCAAAGTTAATATCTTTAAGGTACGTTGGGGTAATACCGGACGGATTTTCGAATAGTTGGAAGAGTCTGCCAAAAACTTTAATTTCTCGACATTCGTATACGTGAGATTTATGGAACATGGAGCAAACCGTTAATCGTTAAACGTTGTTTAGCTCTGAGAATCTTTTGTTTGTGTAAACTCACCGGTTTCTGCTTTAAAGGTGTGCGAAAACTAGACATACTTTTTTATATGCATAATGAAAAATTGGCCATTAAGGGGTAAGACCGGACTTAAATTTAAAACCACTTCTACTGCTTAGAGAAAAAAGTTTATAAAAGAGATTTGTCCTATCTTTAACGCTAAAAAACATATTTCAATATGATCTATAAATTACTAGAAACATAAATGTTCCAAACGATTTTATCTTTTTTTGTTTCTTGCCATCCGATCTTATCCCTGATATAAAGAAATTGTAATTTTATGTTTCTCAAACTTTGTTATGACATAAGATGGAATTACTCAATATAAGAGAAAGATCGGATGAATTTGATTTTATATGGGAAAAAAATAACAGTAAGGACTGGCGAAATGCCCTGGGATAATGCAGGAGTTAAGGAAGATATAAATATTTTAACAAAGCGGCATTTATTATTATAAATTATTTTTTAAATAATTATTATAAATTACATTTTGATTTGTAATAGAGGATAGATATAGATGTCTATGGGCCGCAGCAATCACTTAACATCAGGTGGACTGTGTGCTCCTTTGTCACCCTTATCCTATAAAAAAAATGTATTTTAATGTGTACTTAAAAGTAATAAAACCATCGTATTGTTTTATTACTTTTAAATATACAGACTTGCTAACGAGACTGAGTCCCATAGTCACTTGAGTAATCAACGAAAAAATATACACGACCAATGAAAGTTTAACAACCACTGCCATATTTGTAACAGGCAAAGATCGGATAATATTCATCCGATCTTCACTCACGAGGGGAAACATCGGATCTCGGCCTACAGCGATCTTACCCTTGCATGGACCAGCTTTATTTAGCTATAACTTCATAAAAATTAGTATCCACACAAAATAATAACAAAAGAAGCCATATTCTCGCTAAAAATCGTAAATAAAAGTGATAGGGAAAGATCGGATGGACAAAAATAATACAAAAATTACATTGTTTTATAAAATGCCACGCAGCACAGGTCCCACTTGCCGGAGTGACTGGCGCGAACTGAGGGTCGGGGCAGGATGAAATGGCGTCGTGTAGCATATTGTTAGCTTTTCAAAATATAGCATAATTCGCCGGGAATTTGAATCCTACGGTCTTGCCCCATCACCGATCTTACCCCAACGTACCTTATTTCTTAAAAAAATTCTCTGAGGGACTCTTTACAGTTTAGGTTATAAAGCTTATTAATGAGTACCCAATTTGGTGGGCTATAGTAAAGTCCAATGGCAAATACATGTGGCAACCTAAAAATCCCGACATTTTCAAACTTTGTCTAGATATTTTGGTCGTTCAATCTCGCAAACCTATACAGTCTCAAGTACTTAAAGATTTGAAAAAAAAATGGGCCATTACATACGAATATACCTACTTAACCGTGTAGTGGCGGTGTAAGAATATCCTTAAAGCTTATCTTCTGCGCGAGTCGACCTCAGCTACAAGTTACAAGAGCTGCGTTGGAAGCTCCCGTCATCCGCCGTACTCACCAGACCTTGCACCTACAGACTTCTACTTTTTCTAGAATAGAAATAACTTTTTGGCGGGAATAAAATCAATACCCGGGCAGTACAAATAGCAGTACAAAATAGCTTTGAAGAATTTGTTACCTCCCCCGTCCAGCTGATTTTTTCTAGAAGGGCATCAATAAACTGCTACTGCATTAGCAAAGATGCATCGATTGCATGGGTGATTAGTTTGATTAATAGAAATAAAAAATATAGAAAAATACTTACGTTAACTTAATTCATAAAAAACGGCAATTTCATAGGTAAAGACCTAATATTACGTAACGTATCTTGCCAATTATTTAATACTAAGTGCTAAAGGACTGATTTCGGGTGACCTTTATCGATATGTAAAAACTTTTTCAAACACATAATTTCTCTTGAAAGCTCCAATCCCCAAAATATCGCTATTAAGATCATGCGTTCATTTTTCCTCCAACTTTGAGCATACTTTCTTAAAAATTTCATCGGTCTTATTCAAATCATAGAGGAAACTCTCTATTCTATTCTATAAACGCCACGTATAAAGTGTCATTAATTGTAAAAATTCGTGTAAAGCATGTCTCTATTTATGTTTATGGCGGTGTCTAACTTTGGATAGAAAACATTAATTGTTCTGAATAACATTTCTAGATCCGGAATATATTTACATTTTTTTTCTTTATATATTTAGAGTCAAAAGTATCCGAATTTGGGATCTTTCAAACCTTTAAAAATTCATAACTCCGTAAATGTTAACTTTATCGTAAAAAGTCATGGGACTTTTTTGAATTGTATTTTATCAAATAATACAAAAAAAATTGTCCAGTTTAAAAATAACAATTCCTTGCAATTGAAAATAAATCGGTTTAAACAATATGGCACCGAGTCGTCCCATGGCAACATGCATTTATATCATCAGCAGGACAACTTGAAGAGAATCGCATGAAAAACTTGAGGTGGAATAGTTTTGGTACTGATGCGCCGATTCCTCCTGGGCTATAAGAACTTTTTCTTCTTTTTTCGTTCGCGGATTCTTTCAAACCTCGAGTTTATTTCAGCTGTATATTTAACTGCAATGAGAGCCTTTGTTAATCCTTCGTCTCTAGGTATATTCTTTTTTGTACATCAGTTTTGTAGCATCTGATAAATCTATGCGATCTGCTTGCATGCATGTGCTGCCAAGATTAACGTGGAATAAAACGTCGTTTCAAATGACTAAAGACAGCAAAAACTCGAACTTCTTAAAATTGGCTGCAATTAATTTAGCTTCCAAACTTGCCACGGGATCAGTTGTGTCGATACTCTTCTTCCAAGGCACTTTTTACTTCGGCGTACTGATACTGCACCGCTTGCAATCTGTTGACTCTACTTTCGCATCTTGTTTGACACACTCTTCTTTAAAGTTAAGCTCTTCACATATTTTGAAATAACTTCCTATCTTTTAATTGAGTTTGTAAATAATACAAATAATGTAACAGTGCACGTTCGAAACCAAAATATTGAAAAGCGAGGAAATTTCCATCAATAAACTCAGGCACATGAGCAAGGAAACGGAACAGAGACTAAAATTCTAAGGAGCGTGCAAAATTGTTACCTAAATAAGCTAAAATATTGTATTTTTCTAATATCCTCCTGGGACTTGGCGCCTGGAGCGGGCGCTCCGTTCGCACTATGGTAGGGCCGGCCCTGCCGTGGGTGTGGTAACAGGGGACAGAGGAATAAATCAGGAGATAAGCCGCAGCGTCTTCCTAATAAAGGCTAAAATTAAAAAGAAACGGCGGTTGCCAACCCGCTTAGCAAGCGCGGCAATTATGTTAAATATTCCCCCTATGAGGCAATCTATGGGGGAGGCCTATGGTCAGCAGTGGACTTTATTAGGCTGTAATATGACTACAATATATAGAACAAGGGTTTGTATACAAATGGGATAAATGCCTTACTAATATTTAAAAACCATTTTTTTTATAATAGTTTTGGGATATCCCCCATACCATGAAAATGTCGGTTTTAACGCGACATCAATGAAGCTTCCGTCCGAAGAGGACCGTTTAGCGATCACCGAACTATTGAACAAGAAACAGGCGCTTATGGTTGAGCTGCAGCATTACGAGGCAAACGCCGCTAATGCGGGTCTAGATCCAGACGAACGACCCGCCACGGGCATGCCAACGAACACTCGATTACAAGTTGCAGTCAGTCCCGACGAAGACAAGGTAATTATGCAAAGTAAAAATACTAAGTTGATGAGTTTGTGTATTTTATACGTGGTAGAGCCATGCTTCAGCTATATTAGTAGTATAGTTGTAGCACGAATGGGTCGGCTCGACCGTGGAAGGACCACGCTCTCACAGAATACCAGCGTAAAATAGCAGCTTAACGCTGCTGTGTTTCGTGTGGTGAGTGTAGAGAACCGGAGACCCTTTTTACTGGAAAAGAGGCATTCCATCTTACTCCTCACGGGTGACAACGCACCTGCATTTTGATTCTTTATTAAGGATAGATGTAGATGTCTATGGGTCACAGCAACCACTTCCCATCAGGTGGACCATGTGCTCGTTTGTCACCCTATCCTATAAAAAAAATTAGGTTTAGGATATGTGTTTCGCAGAAACAGCAGACATGACACGGATAAAGAACGATGAGTGAATGCATGAAATAGAGTTTATGGTTCTCTTTATTCTATTGTGGGAAGTCAAAATGTGTCAAAAAGCCTTTTTTTTTTTTTACATGGGGAAATGCCTACGCATACCCGCCTCGCGGGGGCAAGGGCGGGTTATGTCGGACTCGCACCGACTAAAACCCCATGGTGTTCCACCCTCGTCGCATATTGGCAGGGCCACGGGAACGCTTTCGCACACTTCCGCGGCCCCACCTGCGCTGGCCAGTCCATGGCGGCCCCTCCTCGGGAGAGGACCACTCCTCCCCCATCTCCTTCCCAGGCAAGGCGCACCAGAACACATGGCGCGCCCTCCTCATCGGCCTCCAATGTCACATGCGCAACGGACGCCCCCGTGTCCGATGCGCGAAGGCCATGGGGCCAGGAAAAACTAGCACTCAGAAGCACCAGCCTTCCTAACCCCAGCGGCGGATCCGGCCCATGGCTCCGCCGCCAACCAAGATTCGGCTGCGGAGGGTAGGGAGAGCGGCGCCTCGCAAAACCGACACTCCTCTCCCCCCGCAGCCCCACCACCACCGCATCATTTAACGGTGCGGCCCCGTCTTAGTCGCGGAGGATAGGGCGAGTGGCGCATCGCTATACCAGCAGGCCTCTTCCTCCGCGACTCCACCTCGGCTGCAGCGATAGAGGGAGCGGACACCCCTCCCGCAGCATCCCACCGACACACATCCGAAGTGGGCTTCCCAAGCCCACTCGGAGTGGCCACCTCGGGCCGGCCCTACACCACGGGCCAGCCAAGGGGTTCCTCTTTGTTCACCGTGGTTGACCAAGCCACGGCTACTAAGCCCCCCCGCCACGACAAGGCGGGAACCCGTTCGAGGGGGGTGTCAAAAAGCCTACGTGAGTTCACAAAGCTGCGTTAGTCCGTAGATAGCGAAAGTTGGGTGTGGCTAAAGAAGCATGAGAGTAAAATTAATGTTGTAGAAATGCGGTCATTAAGTAGTATTATAAAGTGATTATAAATGAGAGGTATCTATTTACCGATCAAATTAGTGATATATTGAAGATGGGGCCTAAATTAAGAGTACCCTTAATTGACGAGCATATATATGAAGATATATGGATGTAAGAGAAGCGAGAGAGGTGTGTCGCTATGACAACGATGGCGACTCACTAACGAGCATGCGTCTCACCTGATGCAACGACGTCAACTAGGTACGCGTGTTTACCTTACAATGTAAGATGGATCTTCTCTACCATAAGAGCCATAATAAACCCAAAACCTTTTGTTAGATACAAAAGACTCATTGCCTAAAAGACATGAAGGAACGCGAGTACTTTGGTTTTTAACAACAACGAATATGAACATCATCTGCAGGCGGTACAAGTCAATGCTTTGAGAGCCAACATTCTTAAATACCTAACCCACATTGGATCTGTACAAACTAATTCACACCTGCCCAGCGTGTTGAGTATGAGTTAACGTACGAAAGCCATGTTGGCGCCTAAAGAGGTCTACATTGAGCAGTGGTATAAAAGAAAAAGAAGGAGCCTCTTTCAAAAATAATTTAACGAAATGGTTACTGGAAAATTGTTTCTATAGCCTAAAAGAATATTTAGAATGGAAAAATTATTTTAATGATTTATGTGCTCTACTTATAGATAGTTTTCTACAGACTTCAAAAAGGTGACGGTACTCAATTCGATTGTTTTTTTTTTGTGTGTTAACTCATAACTTTTTACTGGGTGTACCGATTTCGATGATTCTTTTTTCATTTGAAAGCTGGTGCTGGTGCACATGTGGTCCCATATAAATTTGATTAAGATCTGACAAATAGTTTTTGAGTTATTCTTGATAATTTATATTGAAGTCGGTTGTACAAAATTTTTAATGGTTTGTTTTATGTACCTAAATATTTGCACTTCTGCGAGCAAACTAACACATAGATATTCAACTGAAGACCCTGTCAACTGTGAAAGAATTTGTATTTGTAAGAAAGAACATCTACACGTAGGAGCGCTGATTGTGTAAACTGTTATCCGCCATCATTGTCATAAACGTAAATTGTTAGTTGTACAACATACATAAATGCTACCCATTGTACGAAGTCTCCATAATCACTAACAGGATAATATTTCATAGGGGTGTTTAAATCTCGCAATATCGACCAATAACGAAACTATAGTGCGCGCTGCCCTAGTGTTAGCTGAAGGAATATTTGACACTGGAGAAACTCTAGCTCGACACCCACCGCTACACCTGCTGCGCTCAATACTGCATGCGCCTTTGAAGCCACCTCGAGATGTTCCCGTCGATGTGCACATTAAGGTACGTTATAACTTTCGGCTTCTAAGATTCTAAGTTCATTCTTTTTTCTTTATCAGTCAGTAAAATCCTACTGCTGGACATTGGCCTTTACTATCGCGTTGTATTGAGGATTTGCTAATTTCATTATGCGTGACCGAAGAATTGACGATCTCATTCTCAGCAGAAGATGTTTCGCGTTTTATACGTGGTAGAGCCACGCTGCAGCTATATTAGTAGTATAGTTGTAGCACGAATGGGTCGACGGGGGAAGGACCACGCTCTCACAGAATACCGGCGTAAAATGGCAGCTTGACACTGCTGTGTTTCGTATGGTGAGTGTAGAGAACCGGAGTCCCATTTTACTGAAAAAGAGACATTCCATCGTAATCCTCACGGGTGACGACGCATCTGCATTTTGATTCTTTATTGAAGATAAATGTAGATGTCTATGGGTCACAGCAATCACTTAACATGGACAGGTGGACTGTGTGCTCGTTTGTCAGCCTATCCTATATAAAAAAAAACCTTTGATTCTACTCTCCGTCGCAATATTTTACTCCTGAGCTGCCAAGATTTTGTATTGATTATAATTCACATAATATTTCTTTCTTTTATTGTTTACATGTAAAAGAGCTGTAGCAAGTATTCGCTCAGGGGCGGAACAAAGTGATTATAGCACCTTCTATCGGAAGCCATGGGGATTACCAAGCATTTCCCATATTCGCCTTAATCTTATGATACTGGTGAAACGAAATGAGGAAATTAATTCATTAGCACAACCGTTGTGTGGCATGCATAGTATACTACGATAAAATATGAAATATATTTTCCAATCAAAGTTGCAAATTACTATTATTATACAACTACGTCTTTCTTTTTAAGGTTCCGTACCCAAAGGGTAACCAACAGGACCCTATTACTAAGCCTCTGCTGTCCGTCCGTTTAAGGAGTTTAGACAAAAAAGAGGACACTATATCGCATTAAGCTTGTGATGTGCAGTGCTATTGCTAAATGGGAACAATTGGTTTATTACTCAGGTTGTGAAGAATTTTCTCTGATATGAGATAATCGGGGCCTATAGGGAGTAATCGAGATAATGTGGGTGGAAGGCTAAACCCTAATTCTGTTTTCAGGCACTGGTCGGTTATGTCGACAGTGAACAATACCATATATTCGAGCTGACGAAACATCTACCCAGGTTTTCTATGTACACTTTGGCGCCTTCCACTTTAGTAAAGAATAAAACAGACAGTTATGTTACATTTCGCATTATGGAAAGGATACAAAGAATATGTATATGGATCAATCAAAATTTTCTATTGGAGCAAGAGGTAGAAATAGAAAATGAAAACACAAAAGACCTTTTCATTAGTTTCCTGTGTCTAAGAGACAGGTCCCATTTGGACATGAGTTTTGCAGCGGATGGAATTGTCAAGTTTACAACTTCTGATATTGGATTAGCTGGTGATCTGATACAAAGTTTAGCGACTTACTTGAATTTGTCCGATTTACAGGTAAGGAAATATATTTTGGTCATTATTCAAATTATGAACTAACATAAAAGACGTCGTATTATTTCTTCTCACTCAGATATTTTTGAAAAAAATAACGTTTTTTTTGAGTAAGACTGCCAAATTATAATTTATTTTTAAAATATGAATATTTACAAGTAAAAATACAATTTATATTTTAATTTCCCTTTACATTTTTACGAGCTTTTTTGATATAATATCGTGTGTAATTGACAAATGGATATGTCGCAAAAAGTTCTATAATTTTTTTACGAATTAATATTTCGTCTATAACCGGACGAATCGTTTGATAGACTTCAAATTGCATTTATAGTTAAAGGCTCTTTATAGGCAACCGCTACGCTACGTATAGCAAACTTCAGCTCGGTGAACTAACGTTGAGAGATAAAGAAATAAGTGGTCGCCCTTTGACGGCTGTTACGGAAGGGAACGTGCTAGCAAGCTAGTATTAAAATATATATTTAAAGAAACGAGGAGAATTACGTTTAAAGCATTCACAAAATTTTACTCAAACACCTTCGCATGAGGAGGATAGTTTTTCGTTGGAGAAAGTCATTGATGTTTAGAAGCAAGCCCGCGAGGAATGCTACTGTGATATGATTATAAATTTGAAACAGGCTCATCTTGGCGGGTTTCGACATTATCACATGTGATCATTTATTAATAGATACGATCCAGAAACGAGGCGCCAACCGACACGACGGTTTGGCTGTTTTAAAATGAATCAACGCCTACCAAAGTGAAGCGATTTTCTTTACAGTTTGACGGCGTGATTGGTGTCGATTCTTTTTCCCCTATTAAAGAAGTATCAACGCCGAATGTTATTCTACGAAATGCTTGTCAGAAGTGTTCATTGTTGTGAGCAACAAGCGACCGAAAACGGGTTTCCGTGGGCTATTGCTTTACCATGACAACGTGCCCACGCACACATCGCTCAAGACGAGGGATGCCCCGGATAATACACCGGGTAAGCTTTAGGGCATCCTTGGTCCTGATTTGGCTTCTAAAATCAAATATCAGCTAAAAGGGTTATACGGTTTTCATTACAGGAAGATGCGCTAGAAGCGTTTTAGCAGGCTTTAAAAGTGTCTGAGGTAGGCAGGCAATGCCTGATTTAGAGTTTCGACAACGCTAGGCTAACCCCTCCCCTCCCTCCACCCCCCACCGGCCTGTTCTGTCTGTGTTTGCCCAGGCCACAAATATATCTACTAGATTATTATATTTTACTAGCTTTCCACCCAGCGGTTCCGCCCAGTGTCGACCATCGCGCATGAACAACTGCAACACGAGGGAAATTGCAGGTGCGTTGCCGCGGCCTTTTTAAAATGAGTAATTTCGTTTCTTGAAGGTCTCTAAGTTGTATCGATCTGGAAAAATCGGCGTGGTTGATGATTCCACGTAGAAGTTTTGCGAGGAAGATAACTCCTAGTAAATCGCACAGTCATGATGTATCGCCAAGCAGCCAGATGGTGTGGACGGTACTGTGAGTTTTGTCCCGATGTGCGTTGGTGGAATTTGGCGGCTGGAATTAATCCGAACAATTTGTCTTAGTACTCCCCGTGGAAAATGCGATAGAAAATGCTAAAGGATGCAACATCTCTTCGCAGCGCTAGTGGATTGAGCCGATCAGAAAGAACTGGGTCGTCGACGATTCGAGCCACTTTTCGCTGGGTGCGTTCAAGTGGAAGGTGCTGGCACTGGGGTGGTCCGGTCTAAAAATGAGAACAGTACTCCATGTGAGGGCGAACTTGCGCCTTGTAAAGTTACAAACGGTGTGTCGGCTTGAAATACTGTCTCCCTATGCTGAGCACACCAAGCTTTTTAGAAGCCAACTTAGCCTTCCCTTTCAAATGATCGCGGAACTGAACGGCATTCGATATGTCGATGCCGAGAATTCCGATGCTGGATGAGGCAGGATGGGCAGTGCCCTGAAATTGAGATGATACGACAAAGGGGTTCTGTTTGGCGGTAAACGCTCAAACCTGTGTCTTCTGAAGTTTAAACTGAACTAATTCCCATTCCGAGATTTTGTTTAGTAAAGACTCGACTTCAGACACAAGTTTGTTCCGATACTCGATGACTTGTTCCCTATAAATATTAGCACGGCCGGTGTAAAAAGCATCACCAGTAGGGTAAAATCGGGTAATGGCGGTCAGATGGTAATACCGGTCAGCACACTTCCAATTATGTTATAGTGATTATAAGCACACACACATACAAAGCGGGTGGCGTCACTATTCCCCTCGCAGGAGCGCCGGACCCCGTTCAGTTCCATGCGTTTGGGAAGAAGACACGTCGAAAGTTTTCGCGCCACTTTGTTGTAAAAGTTTTACGGTCCGAATAAATTTTGCAAAGAAAACCACATTGTGATGTTGTCTTTGCCACCACACGGATCTCATCGGATACAGCCATTGGATATTTCCATTTGTGGTCCCCTAAAAACCGCATATAAGCAATAATGTAACATATTTATGAAATGCAATTTGGGACGAAAAATTACACAAGGTGACATAGATTCGCTGTTCAGGAAAGCATTCCAAAGAGTAGCAACAATTGCGAAAGCCGAAGCAGGATTTACTGCTTTAGGGATATATCCTTACAACCCAAACATATTTACCGATGAAGATTTTCTACCAGCTGAGATAATGAACAAAAGCGAACTTTTTGATGTAGAGAGATCATGATAATCGAATACAAGATTCCCCATCTCTGCTTGACGATTCAAAAGCAACCTTACAAATCTCTCAACCCAACTTAAATGATCACAACGATGCCATGTCTCCTTTTGAAATACCTCATGTTACATCACACAACGCAACACTTTCGCCTGCCATTCCACAGCTCGACCTAGATTTCGAAAACCTAGACTCCACAATTGACGATATCTCTTATATTGATTTGCATAATGTAACACCACCGGCTGCAAATGAAACTAAGTCCAATGTCAATTATTACAATCCTATTCCCTCAACATCTGGAATATTATCTCCAGTCAAAACCCATATTGAAAATATTGAAAAAGTTACTGTGAAGGATCTTCTTCCTTTGCCAAAAAAATGCGAACAGAAAAATATAAAAGCGATGCGGAATCAACATGTTACGGTAATAATAGGAACTCCGAATAAAATAGTCTTATTTGAGAAAGAGCAAAAAAGTTAGCAAAATTAGCAAAAGCTCAAATAAAAGTTGAAGAAAGAAAAATAAAACAGTGGAAATAAAAAAAATATTACAATAAAAAAGAGAGAACAATGAAAACTACAAAGGTGAAAAAAGATAAGAAGATGGTTTATAGTGAAGATGAAACTGATATAAGTGAAGATCTGGATAGCAAAAAAGAAAACATTCGTAAAAAACCAACAAGAATGAAAAAGAATTTGAAGAAAGGTATAGAATTGAAAGGAGTGAAGAGGAAAGTATTACAGAATGAGTCTAAGAACGAAGACAGTACTTCAAACTCTGAAATAGAGATGACAGATTTACGCGAAGATGATGACACGGAGCTAGATGATGTCGGGAACAGATGTATAATCTGCGATGACTATGGACGAGACAACGAGTTGTGGTGCAGATGTGTACTGTGTGGACGTTGGGCCCACTCGGAATGCTCAGGACGTGACTCTGCAAAAGATTATAAATGTGATTTATGTTTCCATTAAGCTTGACTCGTATTAACCAACAGCTGACCGGTTTTACCTTACATTACGTGTAATACCAGTCAAACACGTTTTTTTTTTTAATGTTTATCATGCCAAAACTGTGATTACTAGTTATCTGAATTAAAGTACCATTGATAGTAGAATAATTATATTTGAGACTGTGATTAGTTCTATAAAGATATGTTGACTTATATTCGCTGTGTATTAATTTTTGCTTAAGTGACCGGCATTACCCCATTCTACCCTATTACAATCAGTAACAGCAACATTCTTTTGTTTATTTAAAAAAACGTTCCCCCCCACACATTTTCTCCTGTATCGTGGAGGCAGTTTACAAACATACAATTGATATGCGGAAGAAACAGCGTAAGTACGAGGGCGGGATGATAAGTAACTAGTCTAATAAGAAAACACTTGACTTTCAGTGATAAAATTAATTTTATTTTTCGACATAATCTCCGTGAAATTCTACGCACTTATTCCATCTTCGTTTTAAAGCAATAATGCCTTCCATAAAATGATTTCTTTCGAGGCCTGCAAAATACTCCTCTACAGCGGCTATGACTTCATCATTTGTGGCAAATTTCTGTCCGCCCAAAAAAGTTTTGAGCTTAGGGAATAAGTGGAAGTCTGATGGCGCTAGATCAGGCGAATAAGGTGTTTGGGCAGCAAATCATACTTCAATTCGTTGATTTTTGCCATAGCTTTAACACATGTGTGAACCCTAGCGTTGTCTTGGTGGAAGATGATTTTTTTTTCGCCAAACCTGGTCGTTTTTGCTGATACATTGATGAAGCTCATCTAGAAGATTAGCGTAGTATTCTCCATTAATTTTTTGACCTTTAGGAAGGTAATCTATCATCAAGATCCCATCTGCATCCCAAAAGACGGAAGCCATCACTTTTCCGGCCGACTTGAGTCCACTGTTTTATTGAATTTTTGATTCTGGCATGTAATGATGAAGCCATGTTTCATCTGTTGTTCAAAAACAAATCGACGTAAAAAATCGGCCTTATTACTCTGAAAACGGTCCAGACATTCTTTTGAGTTTTGCACCCGAATTCTTTTTTGATCGTGCGTAAGCAATCGCGGCACCCAATGGGACGATAACTTTTTCATACCTATTTAATTCCTACCCGTTCTTGTGAGATACCTGTAGTGTCAGCTATTTCAGATAACTTCAATCGTCGATCTACTAAAACCATATCATGTACCTACTTTCACGACCATTTCCGGAGTCGTGACGTTTTTTGGACGTCCGGGGCGGGCTTCGTCTTGGATACATATACGACCGCGTTTAAACTCAGCCACCCAGTTTCTTACTGTGGCATAAGAAGGAGCACATTCACCCAAAACATTCTTTAACTCGTCATAGATATCTTTCGCCTAAGCCCTTCATATGAAGAAACTTTATCACAGCTCTCTGTTCAATTTTATCCATTTTGAAAACAGTTGACGAAATATATTTTCAAATGACAAAAAATCAATAAAATTTTCACGCCACCAAATTCAAATTTAGAACACAGGTGGCCAGAGATACGAATTTAAAAATGACATATAGTTTTTTTTTATTTTAACTTTTTAAATAGCAATGGCTAGTTACTTATCATCCCGCCTACGTACATAGGTACGTAAGTACTCGTAGTCGGAGTATGCAACTATAAAATATGCAACTACTACGACCTTAGTGCTCCTATCTGCAAGAAAACTGATGATCCAATTGCATGATTTTTCGGGAAGCCCATAGGAAACTTCTAAAGAAGCACTTTGTGCCAAAGCCCATTGAAGGCCTTTGCTATGTCCAAAGTAACGATCAAGGCCTCCCTCTTGAACTCTACTGCTTCCGGTCATCAGTCAGGTAAATTAGAAGATTAGGACTAGAACCAGCTGGCGGGCAGTTTATAATGGATTCAATTATTTTGGAGAACAAGAAGGCGATGGTGATAAAAACTCGTAATTGGAAAGGTCTAACCGGTCCATAAGTTGAGGATTACGCTTAAGGAGTAGGAGTATCGAAAAAGACGCGTTAGAATCCGTGCTAATTCCGGAACACCTGAATTCAGCACAGTAGGAGAGACTCCATCAGGTCCACTCGACTTGTTGACATCCAGGGAGAGGAGTGCTTTGTACACTGATCTCTGTGTAAACTGCACATCCAGCATGGAGCAATCACACTGCGGGATGGTTGGCGCTGTATACCTCGCCTTATCGAGTCGATTTGGACCTAAAAAGAGAACCTAAAATATCGACTTTCTTCTTTGTGGCATGGGTGAGTCATTCTCCTTGTGCAGAGATGGAACAGATGGCTGACAGAAGTTCCCTTGGACAGCCTTGGCAAAACACTTTAACAAAATTAGAAGTAGATAAGAGAGCTTGAGCAGTTTAAAATCTTTGAATCAGTCAATGAAAGATGAAAGGTACCAAATAATTCAAAATCTTATTTTTACAATCAATTTATTTGTTTGTACCAAAAATAAAGAATGAACAACAAGTAAAATATTTGCAGCACTTACTCTATTATTTATTGAGAATATTATACCAAATTTTATTCTGTACATAAGTGTGCTTGCATAGGCAAGCTTAGCATCCCCTCGAACCTTGCGCCCTATGCTCCAGCCTAGTCAGCCTATGGGTAAATCAGGCCCTGCACTGGAAATTGTTTCGGAAACTGGTTCAAACGTATGAAACTTTGTATAGATGTCGGTGGAGTTCTTTGAAAAAATCAAGAATAAAAACTTTCCGAGTGACCCAAAGCTATGTTACCTTTGTCTTATTTTTGAAAGGGTAATAAAATATACTGTAGGATAAGTTTTAACCATGTAGTAGCAGTGGCGGTGGCGGTGTAAATATATCCACCACCCCATATTGTCCCGTGGATGTCGTAAGGGGCGACAGAGAAAAACAGAAACAGAAGATGGGCAGCAGCGTCTTCCTGATAACTACTCAAAACAATAAAAAACTGCAGTTGCAGCGTGATAACTATGGAAGAATCCCACTTATGAGGAAATCTTAGGAAGAGGCTTGTAAATCAGCAATTCACTTTTAATAGGCTGTAAAGGTAAGGTAATAAAGCATACAAAGACATATAAAATAAAGCATATTAATATCTATGCAAGCATACTTTACCACCCGTAAATGAATTGATATAGTTATACAATAAATTGTCATCATCATCATTATCACTTTCAGCCCTTTACAAGTCCACTGCTGAACATATGTCTCCCCCAATTCCACAAAGCATGGCTCTGATCAACCTGTATCAATCGATTTACTACATGTTTTACCAGGTTGTCACTTAACTAGTGGGAGGCGCTCCTACACCTCCTTTGCTTGCCGGTATGAGGCTGCCACTCAAATATATTGAAGTAATTATGTATAGCCAGTTACATCAAGTTATTAAAAAGTCAGCACTCCTGTAATGTTAGACACTGTTATATAGTGATCCCAAAGCAAGCATTTAGAGATTGTGTTTTCTCAGTAATGAAGTTGTATTAAGTTTCGTCCAACAGGTTTTTGTTATGAATAAATTAACTGAAAAAATGGCAATCTAACAGAATTTTACCAGGGTACTATTTATTTACTCAAGTGTATGTTTAAATATAGACAGAGCAATTTCTTTTATTTGTAATAATTTAATGGTACTCTTAATCTTTCTGACCATGTAGTGGCAGTGTAAGAATATAATAAATGTATGAATCCTTATTTCATATTCCAGCTTTTCTATATTTTGTCATTCCCACTGATAAGTTTGCAGTATAATATATACTTAAGCAATTATTTACATTTAAAATCAGGTCATGTCATATCCCATATCATCCTATGGGTGTTGTAGAGGTGCTAAAGGAAAGAACATGATAAATGGGCAGCAGCATCTTCAGCATCATAATGATGAAAAACTGTGGTTGCTAACCCACACACCAAGCATGTCAACAATGGCAGAAACCATGTGGCAATCTATGGGGAAGGCCTATTTTCAGCAATGGATTTATGATGAAATTGAAAATGGTTTTAAAGATTAAAAAGAACAATGGCAGACTTTCATACATAAAATTAGTTGAGAAGAAATGGTAGCGTCTATATACCAAAAATATCTTAAAATGTTAAGCCTCAGTCCCTTAATAACTCTGTCAAAGAATTTTGTACGGAGAAGGCGTCAAAAAAAAGATATTTACATTTGAACTTTTTAGGTTATGTCCTATGTCACTTGGAAAAAGTCATGCTTCCTGTGGTTGTTTGATGTTAGTTTAATACAAAATACATAATTGAGAGTTTTTAGATTATTGTATCTCTATTCTCTCTATTTGCATACTATAAATGTATATTTCTGGCCTGGCTCTAGGTCTTTTGTACCATAGTGACATTCTCAGAAGGGCTAGAACCCAGAGCCGTAAATCCAGTTAAAAAAAACAGTGACATTTTATTTTAGCTAGTGTTGGCATAACATTAAATGGAATTGTTACTTAATAATATGATTGAGATAATGTATTATGGTAGAAAATTCTTTGTAAGAGACTTATTCTCAGCCATATCACTTTTATTTTTATTATTACTGATAGTAACGTTATTACTAATAATAAACTAAATATAAAAATATTTTGTGTGTTGTGTTGGTAGTCTTACAAAGTGTATACGTAAATAGTATAAATATAATAAATGGCAACATTTGAATAGAGTAAAATGATCTAAGTCATTTGATATTCCCAAAAATGTTTGTTTTTTTCTGTGGCTTCATTTAAAATACATTTTTATTTGAAAAATCATAAAAAATTAATAAAAGTCATTTTATATACAACTTATTTCTAGACGCTATAAATTTTGTCACCTATTTTTCTGCCATTGCTCTTTAAACAATTATTTGCAGACTATAAACATTTGTTTCATGAGCACTTCAAACCCATAGCGAAAGGCTTGCTATTGCCATGTAATTATCGTAAGTTAAAAAAAAAACAAAAAGAAACACCACCATTCAGTTAAATATGGACTCGCTTTATTTTTTTTAG